ATGATAGCGTTGGTATCGTCTGCAAAAACTACTAATTTCACATTTGGGAATTTGTCTTCAATAAATGTAATTAAGTCATTGCTAAAAATAATAAACACAATTGGACCCAATACAGAGCCCTGTGGTAAGCCTCTTTTCATTTTGCCTGCCCTTGACTTGCGCTGCACCAACTCCTCAGACTCAACACTGTTGACCTCTACAAACTGGTATCTGTTGTTAAGAAAAGACTGAAACAGTTGCAATGTTTTACCCCGTACACCGTGAAGTTCTCATTTTTTCGCCAGAGCTTCGTGATTTATTGTATCGCAAGCGGAACTCAGATCAAGAAAAAGACCACAAACTTTCTTTTTCTCATTTAGGGACATTACAATGTCATCAATAAGTGTGTGCACTGCATCCTTGTACGTCTATTTGTTTGATAACCAAATTATCGTTTGTTTAAAATATTATTCCTTTCAAGGTGATTAAGTAAATAAACCTTCATGAGCTTTTCAAGGATCTTTTCTAAAACTGGTAACAAAGATATATAGGTGTGTAGTTCTTAGGATATTCATTAGGGTCTTAATTTTTCTTAAATAATTTAATTTTCTGGCATTTTGTGTGTGAAGTCGTTATGTCTTTACGGTGGCCATTTTGACACTCTACCATACAGCCTTTTCATTTTTTTCCTTTCTATATGAGAATTTTGACAATGTGATTATTTTGACACTCAAAAGACAGCGATGCGTTGCGCTACATTCATTTATTCTAATCGAAACTGTGTTGAGGGGAGCTCTTGGTATAAGGAAAAAATAAATAGTTTATAGATTATGTTTTGAATACAATTAATAAAAATGAAACTTAACTAGCATCTTCCTTAGAATAAGATTTCTTTATTAACCATCAACATTTTGTATTTATTGAGCATTGGCTATATGGCCATCAGTCTAAAAAGGTAAATAATGAAGAAAATCAAAACTATAATTAAACTTAAAATTAATTCTTGTAAAAATTGTAACGACAAAGACCCTCCATTTTATTATCTCATAGCATAAACACCTTGGTGACGTTTGTGTAGACTTTTTATTTTGTAAAAATATGCAAACAATTTTGACACATTGATAAGATTTTTCTTATTATTATAGTTATTGTTTTGTTACTGTTAAACGTGAATGTACTTATTTGAATTATAAGTTTATAACGATGTATGTATGTAGTTTTGAATATAAGGTTAGGCAATATAATGTCTATAAAAGTAATATTACCATTCAAAGGACGGAACTGGTGAAATTACAGGCACATGGAACTTGTCAACGTATATCTCAGGCTGACGTCGCGGTGGCAGTGCCCGTAAGATCTTTGCGATTGGAAGCTCTGAATGGCACTGCAATTGTTATGGATAGACGAGTCGCTTACCACCAGGCGCACGACTTGTCCGTCCTGTCACTTGGTATTATAAGAAAAAACTGAAGAAATAATTCTAAGGATAGTTAACTGTAAGAAGAAGAATGTAAATTAAATTTAAGTTGCATTCTTCTTCCTATCGTATTGACCGCATATACTTTATTATCATAGCCTGAAACGTTCGTGAAGTTTCGTGAATGGTTGCGTTCCCGCGATCCCACCGAAAGAGGACGAAGGGAAGCACCGTCAGGTTTTTGTCCGAAAGTATCCGATGTAACTCTTCGTCTCCCCGGGCGACGAAGCCTACTTAATGTGAGGTGGGTCATCCTTTGCATCGCTCTACACAAACTATCTGGGTCCTTGCACTGTCCAAATTGAGTCCGAAGCCTATAATATTGTAGTTATTATATATTTGTAGCCGACTTCAAAAAAGGAGAAGGTTATCAATTTTATTTGTATATTTTGTATGTATGTTACGCGATAAGTTGCTACGCGACGTACAGGAAAATTTGAAAACAGATTTTAATGAATCTTTTTTTGAGGGTATAAATATTCCACCTCTAAGGGTGGCAAACTAGGGGAGGAACCCGGTTTCACGCACTTTCTGGTAACCGATTTCAATACACTTGGCAAATAGATGTCATTCCACAAACTTTTAAGGTCGGTTTTTTTTAGAACTCTGTACTGAGACTACATTTTTGATTTTTTTAATTTGTTTTATATTGAAGCCTACTAAGTCCTAAGAGAATTTGTTACTAACGTTATGGACAAGATTCTGAAATAAATACTTATTGTTATTAACACGTTTATGGACTATAACGGTTTTTACCGTAAACTTAAATATCAGCATACGGAGTACCACGTTTCGTTATATGGATCTCAAAAACCAACACGGGCTTTACAATGTGATTTTCATGGGCTTTCTGTGTAGTTGTCACCTATTGCTGCTTCATAGAGAAGTATCAACATCGTACTGACTAAATTCAATGATATACATTAAATATTTTATATTCAATCACTACAGCAAGAACGTGACATTGTTTCGAAATAAAAAAAACATGTTATAGCATATAAAAATTGGTCACAAGAAGCTTTTCAACGTGCCTATAAATTCTAAATTAGTTTAGCACCTGTAAGAATGTACTAGCGTAGTAAGTAGTATAGTGCTGTATGTGGTAAGCGGTCAGTAAGGTAAGGTGGAAGTCTAAAGTTCCACAGCCGCCACGCGACCGAGTTTGAAAGTGAAGCGGGCTCCGAGGCAGGCGTCTACAACCTTTCTCTTTTACCATATCTTTGAATATTGCGATTTATATTCTTTTTTTTAATACAATTTGCATTATAACATGACATTAAAAATTAAGTTCTTTTAAAGTATTGTGTAATGTGGAAATTGTATCTGCTGTGTAAAGTTAGTAGAGGTGTGTGCCACTTTACACCACATACTTGTACGTAGTATAATAAGTACTTTGCACTGTCTTTTTATATTTTAAATATGAATGATGTTGTTTGGCATTTGTCTTCTGCAATATGTATTGCTTTTTTTATTAAAAAATAAATGCACGATGGAGATCAAATTCCATCTCACCTGATGGAAAGTGACGATGAGGTTAACGATGGTGCTTACACATTTAAATAATGCCTATACACGCTCGCCTTGAAAATTAGAAAAGTTTATTTTCTACCATCACGAAGTACAAATTTCTTACATACATTAAAAAGTATTAGTTGTATTATTAGCTGATTATAGTTTGTGAGGCGGCTGAAATCTAAAATAGGTCGAAACCTGTAAAGGTCCAAGTTATAGCGTTAAGGGAATAAGTCCGCAGGCAGGGAATTGCACTCCATAGCCGTTAGCCATATAAATGTGGAAGCGAAACACTTCGTGAGAATCCTTCGAATGACAAAATGGTGGAAAGGGGAAGGCGGAATGAAATCATGCAATTCCATCGCTCACTCTCCGTAGAAGATACGATAAGCAGGCAAATTTATAGCGGTGTTCAAGACTCTACAGGTTCTTTTCTATTAAATCTACACAACCTACAAGCCTCTTGGCTTTTCAATAGAATCTAAAGTGGCCAGTTAGTATTTAGCTGAACCAATCCAAGGGTGGAAGCAGTACTCCATATACGGCCGGATTTGTGCTTGGTACAGCTGATACAACTGTCCCGGTGTGTTCATTGTCTACTGACTCGAGAGATAGGGAGTTTCGGGGAGACCGGTGAGACCAGGGTAAGGCAGGCGTCCGGACCGAGTCCTCCGCCAGTGATACGCCTTCACTTTCTTGAGGTACTTGGGTATGGACTAGCCGGGGTTTGTGGTTAGTTGCAGGGTCGAACACGTTCGTCTGCCCTGGTAGCATGTGACCGGGCGTTCGTCCCGTGCGCAGATAGCGCATCTTAGTAGGGGTCTAGACGAGGGCCTAAGGTGAGGAGATGCGCGGGGCACGTGAGTTGCCCTTTAAGTCGGGAGCTATGTCCGGACATTGTCGCAGGACACTGCTACAATGTCCATATTGCGGCATCTCCGGAGAGCTAGACATACTTCGGTCCCTCCAGGCGCGTAGAAATTTGGAAACTCAAGAGACGCCGTTTTTGGCGTCGGGAAGTGGGTGTACCATACAGCTCGGCCACTAATGAGGAGACTTGGTAGTCAACTTAGAGTCAACGGCTCAACGGTGGCAGCCGTTAGTTGCGCAGAGCGCGACGGGAAGTAAGCGTTCAGTGTGTAGTTCAGTGTCAGGTCAGAAAATAGGGAGGGTGCTGTACGTTCACCCGGGGTGGCTCACTTTCAATTGGCCTCTTGAGAACCGGATGAAGTCCGTGCAAACGGGCTGATCTGGGATTAGGCCCTGATTTCGATAGTCCATGTGTGGGTTAACCTGTGCTCGCACAGGTTACAGTGTGCCCTACCCGCATAATCAAGAGGTCGATAGGGAGGGTCACTATAAACAAAACTTATGTAGAAATGGGTTTGAATATGGACTTATGTATGT